TGCAGAATCCAGAGCCAGAAGCCCAAAAGTCCAAATGCCATAGCAGCTCGTCTTGCTTCTCAGTCAGGAAATAGACGTCTGGCTTTCCAGGTGATGTAAAAACTGTGCAGTGGTATCAGCATATACCCCCAAGAGAAGAGTTGTCTTAAAGATGTCCCGGAGGAAACATCACACCCTCCATCAAAGTCAGGTCTTAATGCCACCCTAATCCTGTCCATTAGGGCAGTGGAGAACATGCTCCAAGATGGGACTATGGCCACAGGCAGAGAGGCCGGAGGTATACTGCATCATAAGGAATTCTGACGAGAAGGCCCATATTGACTACACCTCAGCCTGGCTGTGCATGAAGCTGAGGCGCCCAGAGCGCATCAAACATACAATCGTAACCTGCTTACAATTGATTGGCAGAAAACAGTGGTACAAGAATGATGAACAGTTTTCTGTTTTAGCTAGGGCTCAGAATAACTTTTTTTTTTTTTTTAATTTGGGTTTGTTTTGAAATTTGTTTGATTTGTTTCCAAAATTTGTTTTATTGCAAAATTTGTTTTTGTCTTGGTTTTCGTTTTTGGTTCTGTTGCTTTGACGCCCTGCCTTTTATGCAGAGAAGACCCCATAGGGCTTCCTGAGCTGTAACCTCTACGAGAGCAAACCTAGGTTCTTCGGAACGGCGTGGTGGGCTTGAAACACCAACCTTTCTGAGCCTCACCAAGACTACTAATAATTTGTACTTTGTCCATTTATTCTTGGGCTTACCCCACCCACTGCCTTCAAGTGGATTTTGACTCATAGCAAACCTGTAAGATGACTGGACATGCCCCCTTTAGGTTTCTGAGGTTATTAATCTTGATGGGAGCCAGCAGCTGCCTCATCACTGTCCTTGATGCCTCCATAATGTCTTCACCTACTGCCCTGTCAGTGTTCCCTTGACTTTGGCTCAAGTACTTTGGTTCCCATTCCAAAATGATTAAATGGAGAGTGATTTTCTTACCCCCTCACTCAATGAGTGTAGCTAAAACATGAAGGCCAACTAATCGTCCACATGTCCCAGGCCATACATCGAAAGATATTTTTGTCTGATCTGTAGCAGTCGACTTATCACTCATATCCAACATGCTCACTGCCATTGAGCCAATGCTGACTCATGGCGACCCTCGGTGGGTTTCTGAGACCGTAACTGTTTACAGAGTAGAGAGCCCAGTCTTTCTCTCTCGAGGAGCTGCTGGTGGTTTTGAACTGCTGACCATATGGATCGCAGGCTACCTCGTAACCACTACACTATCAGGGCTCCATTATATCCAACATAAGCAGCACTCATTCTGATCTCTGCAGAGCTGCCCTACTCTCCAGTGGTCAGTGCTTAGTGTTCTGTTTCCTGACTCACATTTTCTTGCTCCACCAGCTGGGTTTCCCTGGGTCTGCCTCCTACCCACTTGATTCTCTCCCAACTCACCTGCATTCCCCACCCAAAAGCTGGTTAGGGAGATTTGTGGGATGCTGAGATAGCATGTCTCCATGAGATGCTTATGAGGGAGCACCCCCCCAAACAAACAAACAAAAAACCGGATAAAAGCTCTGCTTGGTAGAGCTCTCATAGTACACATTTTTCCCAGTAGGTGAGCATAGAGCAACTCGCTCTGAGTTAATGCACCCAGTGGCTTCGCCTGGGAAACAACTTTTCTGGTCAGTTTCACTCAAACCCCGTGTTTTTTTTGTGTGTGTGTGATGGCTGATTTAAGAAACAACTTTTTGTTTCTGCAAATGAAGGACATGAAAGGCCAGTGACTTTTTTTTTAAAACAATCATTTTATTGGGGGGCTCTTACAGCTCTTATATAACAACCCATACATCAATTGTATCGAGCATATTTGTACATATGTTGCCATCACTATATCACTATTTTATAAACATTCAGTTTCTATTTAAGCCCTTGTTATCAGCTCCTCATTCCCCACCCCTCCTTCCCCCTCATTTGATTTCTTTTTTTTTAATAGTTTTATTAGGGGTTCACATGACTCTTATCACAATCCATACATACATCAGTTGTGTAAAGCACGTTTGTACAGTCATTGGAAAGGACAGTGACTTGATGACGTAGAAGAGGGAAAGAAAAAAATGAGGGAGGTGCTGTCAGCCATCCAAACAAATGAATTTAAAAAATGTTTCCAAGAATGGAATCACAGAATTGACACAAGTATTAAGTGTAATGGAGAGTACTTTGAAGGTGATAAGGTTGTTTTGTAAAACAAAACAAAAAAATACATACATAGCCGTTGGGGAAAAAATTCTGGTTTTTTTTTTTTTTTTCCGGGGTGGGGGTACCCCTTGTGTGTTTTAGCATCCAGTGCACTGAAATAGTTCCCTTCGAAGTACTTTCCTTAAAATGGGTAGCATTCATTTTGTTTTAGCAACCACCCGTCAGGGCTTGTTTGACTGTCAGGAGAAATGGCCCTCTTGACCTAGCTCCCACTGGCTGTGTATTCCAGCTACTCGCAGTCACGCTCCCAACCCCATGTCTTACCAAGTGCCATCAATGGTGAGGGGGATAATGTTAGCTAGTGTATTGGCCTGGGTAAAGTAGATAAACAACTCCACAGAAACTCATATATGTATGAGAGCGTTTTATATATAGGCTAAGTGTACATTCAGAAAGCATCCCAGTCCAGTCCAAGTCCTCAAACTCACAAAACACACACAGTGACACTGAATGCAGAAGGATCACAGGCCAGTGGGTAGAAAGTCTTTGAATCCAGTGGCAGTGTTAGTATCTCAGCGCTGGCAGGGGTCTCCATGAGGCTTCTCCAGCACCCAGGGCTGCATCGGGGTAGGTCCATGTGGCTTCTCAGGGTTGCCTCCAGGAAGTGAGCCTTGCCAGCTGAAGCAGGGAACTGGCTAAGGCAGCTGCACCCTGGTCCGACTATCAGAGAGCAGGAGACCCGAGAACTCGGAAAGCCAAGGCTCACAGAGCCATTTATCTCTCCGCCCTTCAATTAAACCCACATGTGTTTATCGGCCAGGTTGGTACAATAAACCTTAAGTATCTCAGCTGGTATTGATGACTTTGTGGGCCTTATAAGGCCCAAGAGAAAGTCATTCCCCACCCGATGTGGAACACAAGCACCTTGCAGACAGAGGAGAGAAAACGTAACAGAGAAGAGAAGGTAGGAATTGACAGACTGTGTGATAGGTTTGATGTGACTAACGAAGGCAGAAAGGGGAATGAATGGTTCAAGAATGACTCCTGGTGGCTGTTTTGCTTAGGTGAGTGGATGGACTGTCACTGAGAGGGAACCCTGGAAGAGCACAGAGTTTGGGGGCCAGGTGGAGGTTGGATAAGTTGAGTTTCAGAGCCTGTGGAATATCCTCTAGGAAATGTTAGGAAGGCAGTTGGTCCCCAGATCCATGACTCGGAGGAGACATCTGTTGGAAGAAATAAAAGTGTATTCTGCTTATAGTCATGCATATGAATGTCATGTTCCAGGGAGGGCTCACACTAGAGCCTTGGTTAACTCTGAACTATACTGACTGACTCAGGAGAAATAATCGAGCAGATGGGAGAAGCAGGTGAGGGTGGCATTCTGGGGCCTGCTGAGAGAGGCAAGGCGATCTTGTTGGTATGACGCTGGGTGTCTCATCCCTATGCTTCTTCCAGTTGTCAAAGTTTACCAACTCATGGGTGCAATCCTAGATATTCTAGACCAATGATTCTCCAACTTTAATAAGTGTATCAAATGCCTGTGGATCTGATTTAGTAGGCCTGGAATGGAGCCTAAGAGCCTGCATTTTGACTGTAGCTCCTGGGTGAGGCTGATGATGCTCATCCCTGGATCATACTTCCGTGTGTGTGTGTGTGTGTGTGTGTGTGTGTGTGTGTGTTTCAGAGAGATAGATATTTGGGTGAAAGTTCACAGAACAAATTGGTTTTCCGTTCAGCAATGTTCTTTTGTGACACTGATTGCAATGTCCTGTGTTTCCCATTTCCATCCGTTCTTTTTTCCTACCCCTTCCAGCCTTTTGGGCCTTATCCCTGGGAAGACATGGCCCTTCTGGCCCCTAGGGTTGATTGTTCTCAGGAAGTGCCTACCTCAGTTCCAGGCCTGAAGAGTGTCTACGGGCCACCATGGCCCTGAGGGGTCCATCAGTCTCTATTAGAACAGTAAACCTGGCCTTTCTCTCTCTCCCTTTTAAAAATCTTTTTAATTTTGAGTTTCATTCTCTCCTAGTCTGTCCAAGACCAACTATGTGGGCATGAGTAATGGCAGCTAGGCACCATTCAGTTTTTCTGTGTGGATTACATTCTATGGGGCTTGGGCTGCACACACAGTTCAGTGCTCAATTACAATCCAGAGGCTGGCAGTTCTAAGCCACCCGAAGGGACCTTGAAAATAGGCTTGGCAATCTGCTTCCCAAAGACCTAGGGCACCACAGCATAGTTGCACCAAACATGCCCCCCCAACCCCCGCTCCAGCAATCCCACCTGTAACTGATGTACTGATCTACCACCAACCATGCATATGTGAGTTTTCCTTGACCTCCCATGCCCTTTTAAAGCTCTGCTATATTAGCCAGCCCTCCAACACTATTAAGACCCCGTTCCAATGGTGATCTTCATCTGAATCACGTGCTTTTCTCTTGTCCTTGTCCCATTTAAAACTGAGCAAATGTTCCCTTAGAAATAAAGACAGAAACCCTGTGGGCCAGATCTCCTCTGCACTGGTGGGCTGTCAGGTGCAGGAATCCACTCAACAGCAATGGGTGATGACAGATGGCCTTATAGAAGTCAGTGGCGCTGGGTCTTCTGGCCCTTGAGCGTAATCATTTGCCTGGACGGTGTGTTGGGCCAATGCGGGCACAGGTGAGCCCCGGACCCCTCTGCAGGACCACTAGGACAGGAGGCAGAGCGCTCCGTGCACTTTCTGCGAGCATGTGCGGTGGCCTGAAAGAAGTGGTGGTTTGTCCCCAGCCCCCCTGTGCTGACTGTTCCACCTCTGCTTCTGCCACAGGTGCCTGCAGAACTACATTCCTGCCCACAGTTTAACCCTCTCCTGCCCAGTGTGCCGGCAGACCTCTATCCTGCCCGAGAAAGGGGTGGCCGCGCTCCAGAACAACTTCTTCATCACGAACCTGATGGACGTGCTGCAGCGAGCTCCCGGCAGCAATGTTGAGGGATCTTCCATCTTGGAGACCGTCACTGCTGTGGCTGCGGGGAAGCCCCTCTCTTGCCCAAACCATGATGGGAATGTAAGTGGGGGAGGCGGTGCTGGGAGGGCACGAGGGGTTGCAGCAACTGTCTTTAGCTGTGGGGGAGAGCACAGCAGACATGGTTCTATAACAGAACTCCACCCTGAAAACACGTGTGGGGTTTTGTGTGTGTGTGTGTGTGTGTTGTTGTTGTTTTAAAATCAGTCCTCGCGCTATTTTGCCTACGTACTTTTTGCCCATCAGCATTATTTCAGTAAGGAAATTAGTCTTGTGTTTACTCAACACATATTGTTGGTATTCCTGGAGAGCAAACCAGGAGCTATGTGCAAGCTGTGTGTACTCAGACCCACATAAACATCTGTGTGATGAATTATGGATGAAGACTTAATCATGGATAAGGGCTTCACATTGAGAATGATTATTACAATGTTCATTAATTAGAGTTCTTTTTCTAAAAAGGGGATCTTTTTTTTTTTCTTGTCCTACCCCTAGAGCCTATTCTTTAATACTAAACACAGTCCGATAGGCAAATCCTTAACAATAGAGGAAAGAGGAGGGCTCTTACACGTTTTTCCTGCCACTGGCAGCAACTGCTGCATGTTTAAGGAGGGCTTGTGCGTGCTTGCCAGCAAGTAACTGGTAACGCTGTATGTTTGCTTTATACGTTAGCTACACACATTCATTTCCTAGACCTTGGTGGCACAAGGGTTAAAATGCTTGGCTGCTGAACAAAAGGCTGGCAATTTGAACTCACCAGCTCGCTGGGAGAAAGATGTAGCAGTCTGCTTCCTTCTCTTTTTTTTTAATCGTTTTATTGGGGGCCCATACAACTCTTATCACAATCCAAACATACATCAATTGTGTAGAGCATATTGGTACATTCATTGCCCAGTCTGGTTCCATATGACAGTCTTAGAAGCCCAATGTGGCAATTCCTCCCCCGTCCTCTAGGGTTGCTGGGAGTTAGAATTCTAACTTGTGGCAATTCCTCCCCC